TATTAGCATTATAAAGATATTGCCCATTTTGTCCAATTATCCTTGCAGGTAAAATCAATAAGCACAAAAAGAATATTTCTGTGACTTTGTATAAAGGAAAGGTGTTTTGTAGTTGAGTTCTATGTAAAATTCTCAAAAAAATAATGTACATTTGGACCGTACAACTGAGATAGACACTCATGCACACATTACACACATACAAACACACTATTACATTTACTCTCTCTCTCTCTCTAGATCTCTCTCTCTCTCTCTCTCTCTCTCTCTCTCTCTCTCTCTCTCTCTCTCACCACAACCACACACAAAACAAACACACACACACACACACACACACACACACACACACACACACACACACACACACACACTCACCACACACACACACACACTCACCACACACAGACACACAACTCTTACCCTTGGTCCACTTGTCATTTAGTTTCATCCTCTATTTTGAAATAATCCCCCGCACTAAATAAAAAGATCAGTAGAATCTCGACCTTCTGAATCCATGGTTAGTTCAAGAAATCTACCATATGATGTGGCCTAAATAAGATAAGGGAGGGGGGTTTAGCTTAATTGGGCCACAGTGTGGCCTAAATAAGGTAAGGGGGGGGGGGTAGCTTATTTAGGCCACAGTATGGCCTAAATAAGGTCACCCAATCTTTATTTTTCACGTTTTTACACTCTGTGTGAATACAAATGATATCCTGGACGCTTAAAACAGAGCACAAGAAATTCTGGTGCTTTAGATTGTTACCTCTATCTTGTTTACCCGTGTATTTACTTGTGTGAAGGACCGACATCACTGCACAAGGGGCATCCCCAAGCGCTCCGTCCCCTGAAGAAGCACATCTCGAAGTGTGTAGATGCTAACAGTTCCAATTCCAAGCAATGTTTGATTCCATAGCCTTCTGCTCCTCCCCATCCAATTCCAAGATCACGAAGTCGCTCAAGATTAGAGGAATATCATTCGGTAGCTACAAGACCACATGTATATGCCATCATTCGTATCTGTTCCTTGTGTCCATTATTATTATTTCCCTTATTTG